GGTTGGTGGAAGCTCTTTGGAGAGCCAGGCAGGACTTTATGCCATTAGAATAGGTGATGGCTTGAGTAATTAAAGAGGTGGGGCCAAATAATCCAGGAGGTGGTGTAAGTCATCGAGTTTAAGAGAGCTCTTACTTCTATACTTCTCCAGGGGCTGGCCCGGTGTCACAGCAGTTAAGTTCGTGCGTTCCACTTCTCCGTGGCCCGGGGTTCGCCGGTTCAGATTGCAGGTGCGGACATGGCACCGCTTGGCCAAAAAGCCATGCTGTGGTAGGTGTCCCATGTATAAAGTAGAGAAAGATGGGCATGGATGTTAGCTCAGGGCCAGTCTTCTTCAGCAAAAAGAGGAGGATTGGCAGTAGTTAGCTCAGGGCTAATCTTCCTCAAAAAAAACCAAACAAACAAACAAAAGAATGCTCTTGTACTCCTTATACTTCTCCAGTGTAGCATTTATCAAATTACAGTCATATGCCTGTGTCCCCTACTAGAATGTAAGCTCCATGAACACAGATAGGGGCCACATCTATCTCACTCACCGCTCTGTCCCAGTGCTCAACACATTGCCTTACACATAGCATTCAATAAATGTGCTAAAAAACGTAATATTAAATTTATTTTGCTGGTCAAGCCCATGCAAGCATATTTTGTCTCTCATCTTTGCTCCAGAGAGTTCCACTGTTTGGGATGCTCTGTCCACAGGAGACTGAGGCCTCCATCCCTTCATTTAACGCTTCCTCCTCTTTCAGGCTCAATGCAAGCCCCGTCTTTTAGCAGAAAGCATCTTGGGCTTTAGATACCGGATATAAGGATTTTTGCCCTTCATCCTGCAACTTACCGCAGGTCTTTCCTCCTCTCTGGGCTTCCAGGCTTGGTTATTTCAACAGTAAAGAAAATTTAGAGTTTTGAGCAATGATTTTCAAACTGTTTTTAAAATTGTTTTTGTTGTTGTGATCCTTGATGAGTAGATTGCTTGTTTGCTTATTTTTGCAGGATCTTTTTCTTTAAAGGAAATCTGTGTATAGTACCCAGAGGTGTACATAAATAATACAGGTAAAAATGGAGTTGCTCTCATCTGGCTGGGGGAAGTGAGAGGAGGGGAGTGTCTTGGGCAGGGATGCGGAGCCTGACCAATAACCATCCCACCCTCAGCCAGCACCCAACCTAGAAGCCTCTGAGGTACTGATGGCAAACTTCTAGTCCTTAGTTTGAAAACTCTAGAAGATTTTTCTGCCACCTTCTTCAGCAATGGTCAGTCTCTCCAGGGAAGTGTGGCATTCATCCTGTCTCCCTCCCATTTTGCCTTTACCATGCTACTACCTGGGCTACAGGGAATGGGCCATATCTTTTTAGACCCAAGACCTGCTACAAAACCTCCACCTAGTGGTTCACTTGTTCAAAGTTTCTTGATGATGCTCACTGGGGCCAGGATCTCCAGAAACTTCCTGGGGAAGGCGCCCCCTGAGTCGGGCCTGGGGAGAGAGAGAGGATTTGAATTAGTGGGCAGGAGTTGGTTATCCCTTATCAGTGGGGCTGTGCAGTGATGACAGTCTGAGGAGGCCGTGAAGTGGGGAGCCATTAGGAGTTCTGAAGGAGAGAAAGAGATAGCAGGTTCAGGATGGGCAGAGGTGGGGGGCCCAAGACAGAGCATGTGAACGTAATAGCCCAGCTGTGACCTGAGTCAGCCTAAAACCAGAAACAGAAGTTATCGTGCTGTATCTTAAATTAATTCCCCAGTGTAGCCTCCCCAGCAAAATGGTCCAGGAAGATAATTGGAACTGGCTCATTTCCAGGCATCTTAAGCATCAAATCCCAAAGAAAATGTGGGCAGCCTGCAAAGCAAAACTTTTCCTGACATTTCCCAGGCCACATCCCACAGCCCCTATTCTCAGCTCAAGCCTACACTCTTTTTTCAGATCCAGGTGAGAAAATGATGGTTGCTCTAACGCTTCAACGCCCTTCGCTAAGCAGTTGCACTGGTCTGGCTGGCGGCTCCAGCGAGCTGGCTGTTGGTGGGAGCATCCTGCCCTCTGCTGGCTTTGGCAGGAAGAATGAATTTGCATTGTCTGCTGTGGAATTAATTAAGGTTGAAAGCTTTTGGTTTTATCTGAAAACAAATATTTGCTTGCGTATTGATCAGGGAATGACTCCCTTAAACGACATCTGGATTCTTAGGGGATTTCCATGTATTCAGGGAAATAAAAATTGTTATGTGTCATATGTATACTTCTTGCTCAATAAACAAGGGTGCAAAATATACAGTGCTGGCATCTTTAAAGAAATGTAAAGAATCAAAGCTACATCTCTAATAATTTTTAAAGCATTCACATAGTATTACGTGATAGAAAGAACCTCAGGAATACCATCAGACTGCTTGGGTTTATCTATTAATTCTGCAAGATAGTGAATCTCTCTGACACTCAATGTCTTCATCTGTAAGGTGCCATGGCCACTTTAGAAAGTTGCTGTGAGGATCGAATGAGCTAATAATGTATGTGAGGGTGCTTCACTGTGTCCACTAAAAGCATGAGGTTTTAAACATGTTTGCTATGCACAGTTCACACACACATACACGTACACACAAGAGGTTCACACTAAAGTACAGAGAAACATTGTTCAATTATTGACTTCCTGAAATTTATGTTGGTAAAACTAAAACATAGATATCAGTATTTCAAATCTAGATAATGAAGGGAACCTTCCTAAACATATTGAAAGAAGCAGGAAGGATGCCCCTAAAATAATTTTTGTAAGAGGCTCTGGAGACAGAACAACTTTTTTACTAATTACAGTAGTACTTATCTTCGACTGCCTATCATTATGTTCTGTACAATCTATAAGAACATCTATATTTCTCACTTTTCTAAAGAGAAAAATGGCAAAAACGGATTCTAAAGATAATCTTTTGCAGCAATCCAATCCCGCCCTTTCCTCCATTTCTCTTTTGTTCTGGGTCCTTCCCTATCCTTCTCTTCTGTTCTCCTCCTGTTTGATTTGAAGCTAGAAATAAGTAGTTTCAGCTAGCATTGTCATTGCTGTCAATGGTTAGCTGTTTCTTGTCCCCTACAGCAATTCTGTAAGTCCACCCTTTTCTCTTCAGTTCTATCATTATAATTGGAGCAGAATATGGTCCCAGTTCTTAAGTCACTAGCCACCTAAAGGTTGAAAAGCTGAATGACAATGGTGTTGATATTAATGCAGTAGCTCTTTCATAAAAAATAATAGATGTTTTTAACTTAATAATTCATTTAATTGATTTTATTCTCTTCATTACCAGCTCTGTTTAATAAAGGGTTTTAAGCATCCAATTTGTGCTTTCAGCTGAAGAGTAAATCCAACTGTAATTGATCACCTTGCCAGCCTCAATAAGTGTTATATTGATGTTTTGTAGAAAATTCAAGTTCAACAAAGATTTAATACTAGTTGCTGAAGATACAAAGGAATAAGTTATGGTCTCTATACATGAGATATTCAGATTTTAGTTAGATACCTACATAACTAAATATGTGATAAGCTAGTGATGTGTGAATTGAGGAAGAAATAACCAGAAGAAGTCATTTGATCCTGAAAAATGAACAATTTTCCAAGTGGGCAAACTGTCTGTGTCCATGTGTTTGTTTGCATGTGTGTTGGAGTGGTGGGAGAGCAACTTTCAGGGCAAAGGGTACCAGGGAAGTCTGATACAGTATTGTGAAAATCTGTGCCATGGGTACAGTAATAGGGAGACTGAGGCTGAGGTTGGCAAGGTAGTTTGGGGCCAAATGAAGGCACTATTTAACTGCTAAGATGTGGAGCTTGAATTTCATTGGGTATATGTGCTAACCAATAGTCTCGAGTGGCGGATCAATAGTATACCTCTGTTAGCTTTTGTTTCGTCAGGGAAGTGTTTATTAGAGAGGGAAGTTGTGTTTAAGGGGTGTTATAGTTCCCTACCACTTTTAAAATGTGTAAGTTGCTGACTGAGGGCTGCAGCAGCCTCTCTGTTCTGTCCCAACTGGGTCAGGTAAGTGACTCCCAGAAGAGATGAGAATCCTTACCTTGCATCTTTCAACACAACAGCTTAAATCCCTTTTGATTCATCGAAAAGTCATGCATTTTTTAAAAGCAGCCACCAGCCTCTTTTGTCCAGTTACTCTTAGAGAAACACATTCTCTAAAATATCTAGAGTCCATTGTCTAAGCAGAAGGATTTAGAAATGGCATAAGTCACTTTCTCTAGCCAACCTGCCATGAAATAAAAAGGAGATCAGAAAAAGATCCATCGATAGAAGCTCTCTGCTTCACCAAACTTGCTTGCTCATCTGATTAATCCTTTTTAAAAATTCAGATTATTTATATAAACTGCTTGGCATGATGTTACCAGTCTTAACTCTCCTTGTCCGCCTATAGTAGTTGCACAAACATTGAGAGAGACAAGATTGCTCACGATAAGCTTTGTTTATGGCATCTTAAAAGAAAGCGCTTTGCATTGATATCCTCTAATTCCTGTCATTGTAAATGAGATTTACAGGTAACAAAAATTTTTTCTTTTGTGTGTTTGCTCAGCACTTAGTACATTATGACACTCTGAAGAATGGAGTGCATTCCATTAAGCAATCTGGACAAAAGTAAAGTGTAAATAAGCATAATAAATAGTGTAACCAGGTGCTTAGTGCCCCGACGGGGAAACCAGGAGGGCAGGGACTAGCGTGGGAGCCTGGAGGAGCACGGACCTTGTCTGTCTTGCTTGCTCCTCTCCCTCCATTGCCAGCACATAGTAGGTGCTCAGTGGATGTCTGAGGAAACAATGAATGGACTCCCTTCCCTCTTGACTTACTTGCAGTGGTTATCTTAAAGGCATAATAAAGTAATAATCTCTCCATGACTACTTGGGCTCATGAGTTAGTATTTGCAAATGGCTTTGAACTTCTTGGGAAAAAGAATGGTGTTTTTGTTGGCACCGTATCATGTTTGCAGTGGCACACGATTACTCCTCCTTCTCTTCCTCCAGCTGCCCGTGTTGTGCCCTCCCCCAGCTCCGTGCTGGGCCAGGATCTCCCACAGGGCAGCTGCACTGCTCTCTCTGTCTTCCTCCAGCCACCTCCAGCCCGACCGGAGAGGTAGGGACAGAGCAAATGCCGGAACGGTTTCTTTATGGCCTCTCAAGAGGCACTGGGGAAATGGAATTGGGTGGATCCCAATAACTCTTTGGGTGATTGGTGTCTAGAGGGATGTAGGGTTTTGGCCAGCCAGGGGAGAAGCTATAGGCCAGACAGGCTGATCGGTGAGGACACATCAAACTAGACTCTGAAGGAAGGATAGAGGGTGTCATGGAGACGATTTTACGGCACCTAAGTGCCAAAGCAGCTGGTTTCTAAAGTATGTATGGTTTTGTACACATAATACAAACCCTTAACTAGTAACTGGCAGAAAATGCTATAGTTTTGTCAGAAGGAACTCATAACACAAACCAGATTTCTTTTATAGGGGTAAAAATTTCAACTATTATGATTACTTTCCCCATAATTTTTTTATATTTGATGATGACAAAGAGTTTTTATCTCACAATAGATAATCATATTCATAAGCTGCAATGTTTTCCAATGTATTTGTTACTATAAAAATTGCCTTAACTTTTAGGAACTTAGTAATTAAATAGTTCAAATGTGATTTGGGGAACAGAAGCTGTTTTCTATTAATAATGGCTGTCCTTTATGAACAAATCCAAGCAAAAGAGTTTTTTTCCTTTTGAGTTTATAATATATTAACTTTCAACTGATCACACATGATAAATATCTCAAAGTAACTCAGGGAGAGCCGGTTACATGTGCAGAATAACCAGAATGACTATCAGTGGCAGATCTCGCCTTAAAGGCAGGGACAGGTCCTATTTTCCACAACTCTGAAGTGACTTGTTTTCTAAACCAAATCATGATGTTTTCTCTGCGTGTGGAAAATTTTCCATAACACAAGTGGCTGTACATGTGGCAAATTTGTTCTCTCTGTAAATTGTTTCCAGGGACTGGAAATGAATGCTACATAGACAAAAACTAACATGGTTTTCTGTTAAAATGATAGACCACATAATGTCTGTTTTGCTGCAAAGGAAAAACTCAGGTAAGACTGGCTTTAGTGAACAGCACGAAGTTAATCAAGTCTTGTGTTTTATTTAAAAAATTGTGGAAGGAAATTTCCTTCCAATTAAATTGCTCTCATCATTAATCTGAAGTCAAAGGCCAAGGGAGTAAAACTTGTAGTTAGATTATAGTAAGTAGCATTTGAAACTGACAGCTTAGCATCCCTCTACAAGCTACATGTGAAACATTTATTTGGGAGGGGCTCCAGATAAGAAATGGTTTCATTCTCCCCTTGATTCATTATAGAGTGAAGAGCTCTGATTTTCTATTTGTACAGGGCTTGAGAATCACATAGGTCTTACTGAATTTTTGTGATTTTTCTCTATTTGTGAGGGATTTGATACTAGACAGTTTGTCCACGTCCTAAAATAAATAGATGGGAGCCCCCTTCAGGAATGACAAGGAGGGAGGCATGAATTCCGGTGAGATCCAGTTTCCTTTTCAGAATGTTAGTGTCCTGTTGCATTGCAGGGGCTGTAAATTCATTTAGAGCTGACTAGACGAAGCCTCATGTGCTCTGGCGTGGAGAACAGGAGGGGTCACTGATTGAGATTTGCCAACTCAAGTTCTATGGTGAGTCTGAGTTTGAAATGTACAGTTGATTCTCACTACGTGTTATTTTCTTTGATGCGGGGAAGGGAAGAAGTGAACAAGTTTTAGTGAAGTGTTACGTATTAAGAAAAACAAAACATTGAGGGAATTATTGCTGGGAATTCTTTATTCCAGTGTTTAATGAGTAAGTTGGTTGGTTCTTTTGGATTTCTTCCCTAAATATTTTGGACTTCTATTTGTTATTAAGTCTCTCTTTTTTTGTTGTTGCTACTCTTGTTGCTAGGTCTCTTCTACTTTTTCTTACATCATATGGTCAGTGAATTTGATGGGGGGATGTCTTATATCAAGGCAAATGTTGAGTTTGTGACGTCCAGATGATTTTCGGTACTAGCCAGAAATGTCCAATAAGTACAGGAGTGACATTGCAAGGAGAAAGGAGAGAGAAGAGACTGGTCTAGAATGTTGAAGGTTCTTATTAAGAGAAAAGAAAAGAGGGAGCTGGTAAGAAGCCAAATTTAAATAGCTAGGCAGTAGAGCTCAAACATGATGTTCTAATGATGAAGACAGGGTAAGGCAGCTCATGGAAATTTACTGTGTGTGTGTGTAAAAGAGAGAGAGAACTGATTATTTTCTTATCTATATCCACATCAACCCTTCTAAGGACAGGAACCCTGTCCTTAGCTCTGTATCATCTGCAAATAGACAGTTGATAAACACTTATTGATCAAAAAAGGTAGTATTTATTTTTGTAGCTGCTACAAAAAAAGGTCAGTAAACCAGTTGTTGCTTTTATGTGCTTTCAGTGAGATAGGCTTGAATAAAGTAATCAAGCTTAGACAAAGGCAGCTGAAACATGACCAAATAAGTTGCAGCCAAAAGGTGAGCTGTGAGCATATCACAAATTATTCCATCACGGCAGGCACACTTTTGGGTTAGACCACCAGGGGTCAGGGCGTTGTCTCCAGAAAAGCTTTATAAAAGGACGCTTTCAGTGTCAAAGACACAGGGTAGTGCATCTCAAACTTTTGAGTATGGAAGGTGTTCACATCCTGGTTCCTGGGTCTCACCTCTAGTGATTCTGATTCAGGAAGCTGGGAGGCGGGACATCCTGGGAATCTTTGTTTTGTAAAAGGTGCAGGTGTTGGAGGACCTCACTTTAGAGAAAAATGTGTGGGCTTTCTCTAGCTTGTTTATCTCATCAGAGGCCTTTTGGTGCAGAACCCAGCAGGAGCCTGGCTCTGAGAGAGACTTGGGCAGGCAGCTTAGATGGAGAGGCAGTGCCCTGGGTTTGAATCCCCTGTGGCTTTGCGCAAAGTGCTTTTTGTCTCTGAGATTCAGGTTCCTCTTTTTTACAAGAAGAGAACTGTATTTTCTACCTCATGGGATTTAAAGAAATAATGCTCTCAAGCACTTAGCAGAATGACCGGCATATAGAAAAGCAATTAGTAAATGTTGCCTCTTGCGGTGGGGAGATAAGGGAAGTGTCAGTGATAAGCCCTCTGTGGCGAGGAAAATGACATGTGACAGACAGAACCAAGGCATGACCAACCAAGAGGCTAGTTCTTGGATCTTGGAGGTCCAGGGGCAGTGTCTGAGGATAGATCCTAGACCAGAAGATGAATAAACCCAAGGATGGGAGGTACATTTTCTCACCATTACAAATGTTTCCCAAGAGTGGTAGTGAGCAACCCAGATGGCACAGTTAATTAGAACTATAATTGATCCCCAAATAGTGTTCAAGTTAACGATTTAATTGATTTTCCTCAGGAAAACCATTATGCGAACTTCTAAAGTGGAACAAAATGAAATGCATCAAATTCAGGGATTTGTTCATATCTGACACCCACCCCACATGGAAGGAGTAATGAATGAAGAGAAAAATGGTCAAAGGGAGGAAGGGAACAGGGACCACATATCAAAAACACTATGATTAAATGAAATCCTTTTCTGTTAAGTCAGTGCGATGTCAGGTCGTACTGAACCGGCTGGCTGGCTCACATGTGGCTGTTGCCTGGTAATCTCCCAAGATGAAGCACAAAGAGTAGAGGAAAAGGAACCATACGTTACTTAGATGCCTTTCTTAAAAGACAAAGAGAAAATTTAGCGGCACTTAAATGACTGCTGTGACTGCAATAGGCAACAAGTTAATAGATGGGTGACATGAAGGACACGTGGGGTTGAGGTGTGACCAGACTGTCCCCAGGCAAATCTCGTAGCTTACTTTCCTCTCTAAGTGCCCTTCTAGACCTGATACACTGTGATATGGCATAGACGGTGGGCCAAATCCTGATACTTTTGTATTTTTCTCACCTGGAAAGCAGTCCCTAAACTAGGGTACCTAAATTATTGCCAAATGCTAGCTATTTTGAGAAATTCTGTTTATCTCAAACTATGAATTTTTCAGTGTATTTTTCCCATAAACCAAAATTTCAACTTAAATATATTTTTACCAGTGCTGTTACTTCTCTGGAAGTTGCTGATGTCTTCTCAGTAAACACTCATGATAATAAGATGATAATGATAAATAAATGATAAAGAAAAACATTCTAACAGAAGCCACCATTTTTTTGAGCACCTATCATCTGCTAGGTATTACACTTGTCACATTTCATCTTTAATCCTTCCATTAACCCTATTAGAAGGCATTATTGTGGCCATTTTCCACAAGGATTCTGAGAGGTCACTGAGGTAGCCAATAGCAGAGTCAGGATTTGAATCCAGGTTTTTCTAATTCTAAAACCCATGTTTCTACTCCTTTAATGTACCATAAATCTGCTATACCGAATGCCATTCATAGTAAGCCTGCATAATTTGCTCTTTGATTCAGGGTCTCTTAATTATTCTTCAAAATACAATGCAAAGTGTGTATTCAGTGTCCTCCCATCTCACTTTTCACTTGTGACCTCTTGAGTGGAGCACTGTTTCCTAACGGCAATATCATGTTATTATGTTTACTTTGAGTAACGAGATTACTGACTAGTCTAAACTTGCCTGGGCATATACATCAAAGTAGCAATTTTTTCTTCCCCTAATATTTAAGCTTTGTCAAATTTTCCTTTTCCTTGGAAAGATACCATCATCTTTTGATCAGTTTTTTTCTATATAAAACAAAGCAAAACACAACTAATTCTGTGTTATAAAAACTCTCAATCAAATTTCAAACTATCCCCTTTGACATCATAGGTTAGAGGGATGGGGCGTAGTATATCTCTGGGATGCCATCTCCCTGTTTCTCTTCTATGCTACTCCAGTTTTGGGAGATGTGGGACAGGGAAGAACGAGAAGAAAAGGACACGTTTCTCCCATTTAATGGTGCAGTTTCAGTGTTTCCTCCGTGTAGGATTTGGACTCTTTCTCGGGTAATGTGGGCTGACAGTCTGAGGCCCTCTGTGTGGTAGACATCCACATGAGAGTTTTCAGAGGGTCCTTGGGTGGCCGACTCACTGCATGGTCATGGACAGGGAGATCTATAGCTCCAGTAAGATCTTATGGATGTAACCCCCCAGCCTCCTGCTGCTGGGGTCTGCTCGTTCAGCAGCCAGCCCTCCTGCGTGGAATATAACAAGTTAACACAAACCTGGCTACTTCCCCCAAGTTCACTGGGCCCACAGACACAAGCTTGTGAGCTACACCTGGGCTGTGCCTTCTCTCTTCTCCATGTCTCTTTTTTCCCTCAGTTCAAATAGGGACAGAGAGTGAGCTGGCGAGGCCGCTGCATATGCAGGGGTCAAAGCTAGAAATGAAATGCCGGCTTTCCCTGTCTACAGGTGCCTCTCCCGGCTTTAAGAATGGCTCTCTTGGCAGGCCCTGGACTTGGCTCCGTGGTGAGAGGCATGTCCTTGGGGAACAGAGGAAAAACTTGTAACATCACTTCCCTCCACCCTTACCTTAGCCGCCTCACAGCTTAGATGGTTTTCCGCTTCTCTTCTCCCACTCCAATCTTCCTGTTAGACTCAACTAGAGAGGGAGAGGGCACAGTTTGGGGTGACAGTTGAGAGCAGCAAAGTCTTTTTCCTTTCCCTTAGTAAGCCCTGAAGGAGATGGTGGCTCCAGCTTCTTTAGCCTATATTGGGGCCCTAATGGCCAATTCTGGGGTAGCAGGAAAATTGCACTTAATAGCCTGTTACATTTGTGCATTTTTGGTGGCAAAAATTAATTGATATAAAATTAAAAATTTCTTACCTGTGAAAGACACTGTCAAGAGAATGTAAAGGCAAGCCACAGACTGAGAGAAAATACTTGGAAAAGACACATCTGATAAAAGATTGTTATCCAAACTATATATAGAACACTTAAAACTCAACAAAAAGAAAGCAAACAACCTAATTAATAAATGTGCAAACGATCTGAACAGACACCTCATCAAAGAAGATATACAGATGGCAAATAAGCATTTGTATGATGCCCAGTATTATATGATATTAGGGAATTACAAATTAAAACAACAGTGAGATACCACTACACACCTATTAGAATGGTGAAAATCCAAAACACTGACAACACCAAATGCTAGCCGGGATGTGGAGCAACAGGCACTCTCATTCATTGCTGGTGGGAATGCAAAATAGTGAAGGCATCCTAGAAGACAGTTTGGCGGTTTCTTACAAAACTAAAAATACTTTTCCCATACAATATAACCATAGCACTCCTTGATATTTACCCAAATGAGTAAAAAACTTATGTCCATATAAAAATCTGCACATGAATGTTTATAGCAACTTTGTTCATAATTGCCAAGGCTTGGATGCAACCAAGAAGTCCTTCATCAGGTGAATAAACTGTGATATGTTCAGACGAGGGAATATTATTCAGTACTATAAATAAATGAGCTGTCAAGCCATTAAAAGACATGGAAGAAGCTTAAATGCTTATTACTAAGTGAAAGAAGCCAATCTGGAAAAGCTACATATTGTATGATTCCAACTGTATGACATTCTGGAAAAAGTAAAACTATGAGGACGGTAAAAAGATCAGGGGTTACCAGGGGTGAGGGGGAGCAATGAATGAATAGACAGAGCACA